TGTAAGTCGAGGACTACCCATACTTTATAGAAATTATAACAACGCCCCCAATTCCATTAGGGAGCCCACAAAATATACTAAGCAGTGAGTGTATTGTAAAGAACAGAGACCCAGAGGACTGAAAAAATCAAAAAATACTCATATGCATATATCTCAAGCAAAATTCTCTGACTGTTGAAATATAGCTTGTCAAATTATTGTGTCAGGCCTATCCGACAATTCTAATAACTATTCCAAGCAACCCTCTGCATGTTCTGAGTTGCAATGCAAATACCGTCTTTCAAAATCCTTGTTTTTATTTGTTGGGGAAAGTGATTCTAATCCTTGCAAAGACCTACTGAAATGCTTGCCCCTTGCATGGTCAAGCCAGATATGTCAATATACAGTGTATAAGATATTCCTCATGTGCAAAAATGAATAAATGAAGCAAAATTCACTGTTTAAATGGAAACAGAAATTGTCCTTCTCACAGAAGATTTACATCGGTGTATTTGTCTTTCTCACAGAAGACTTACTTAACCTTCCATCCTTCCGAGGTGGATAAAATGAGGAGCCAGATTGTTGGGGGCAATATAAACTGCTCGGTAAACTGCTTAGAGGGGGCTGTAAACAATGTGAAGTGGTATATAAGTCTAGGTGCTATTGCTATTTATATTGGTTTATTTATCTACTGCATGGTTGTCCAACCTTTTGAGCTGCCTGGGCTGCATTGAATGAAGAGGAATTTGTTTTGGGCCATATATAAAATATATAATATAGTTAATGTATATAAATGACAAACTTTCCTTATTTTTTAATTATCTTGCTGTTCAAAATAATTATAGTATCTAGCTGATAATTATCTACCTGTTCAAAACCACAGGAAGCCTATGTGCTGGGAGGTTGGTCTCAGTGTGGGATTCATTTTTTTTTTTTTTTACTAACAGTTCTGTGGGCATGGCTTGGTGGGCAAGGGAAGGGAAGGATACTGTAAAATCTCCAGTCAGAGGTGGTATTTGCCGGTTCTCCGAACTACTCAAAATTTTCACTACCAGTTCTTAAGAATTGGTCAGAACCTGCTAAATACCACCTCTGGTTGGTCTACTATATATAACTCATTAAACACCCCAGAATTATAACTCAACATCAGAGGTGGTACTCAGCAGGTTCTGACCAGTTCTGGAGAACCGGAAGCAGAAATTTTGAGTAGTTCAGAGAACCGGCAAATACCACCTCTGACTGGTCCCGCCCCCATCTCTTCTCTGCCTCCTGAGTCCCAGCTGATTGGCTGGGTCTTCTTTTGTTGCCCTGCACAGGAGAAAGGAGCTGGAAAGCAGGTTAGTGGGGTGGGGTAAGAATGGAGATTTTACAGTATCCTTCCCCTGCCACACCCACCAAGCCACGCCCACAGAACCAGTAGTAAAAAAAATTGAATCCCACCACTGCCCAACTGCCTCGCAGTTCTATCTCTAAAGTGGGAATAAGGGGATAATAGGGTTTAGAATATACAACAAACACAATGGAAAAGTCATCTGAATATTAAATAGGCTGCCTAATGACATATAAGAGAACAACTTTGAAATGTTTGGTAATGATTGAAATTATAGATGTTATTGTTTATATAGATGGAGATCCCTCCTGAGATCCATGTGGTTCCCATATTGATGGCATTTTGGATGGCATTGAAGATCTAGCCCTCCTCCGAAGCCTTGGGGGTAAGAAAGCTGTTTCTTGGTTATGGTTGTTTTATATCCGTTTTTACACCGAGTATCCAGATTCTATCTTCTCTATCTATTTTGCAGTCTGTTTTAATCTTGGTTTGCTAAATGATAAGCCATCCAGAGATGGCACCTAAATCAAGCCAAATAAATAAATAAATATTGCTACCATCTGCGTGTATAAGTTATACTCTCTCTGGAGAAATGGCTTGAGTCTCTAAGAGGGCAGTTAAAAAGAAGTTCTTTGATCCCATCTGAAAATGTTAAGAATGCTTTTAAAATTTCATGTGATAATTCTGTGGATCTTAATTATGTGTATCATTTTGTTTATATCTATTTGTATATTATAAACTACCTAGATTGTCCATTGGGCAGAGTATAAATGAATGAATTGACAAATAATATTATTTAGCTGAGAATATGTTCTAATCAATTCAACTAGAGTTTAAGTAAATGAATAGGATTATATGGTAAGGATACATTCATATACATTTATGAAAAAAGAACTCTATTGTACTCAGTGGGGCTTTCTGGACTTTTTTTGTGGGGGAATGATGAAGACAGCTCTGCTAGAAAAGCTGAAGATTAACCAAAATGAAAAACCCAATGAGTAGACCGACTCTTCACAATTCCTCCCCAGAAAAAGAGAGCACTTGAGATCACTCACAAGTGCTTCATACAGTTGATTCTCCCAAAGATTACAGAATAGAAATCTCCAATGGGTTTAGAGAATAGCTATCTGGCTTACCCCATGGTTGGCACCTTTAAGACCACTGACTTCATATAATTCCTTTTTCTAATCACTTTCAGAAATAGTTTAACTGCTTTTTAAGCTATTGGGAACCTTTGATTGACAAGTTGGAAAAATCAGCTGTAAGTTTCATTTAATCCTTATTGAAAGAAATTTTAAATGCAAGTTTAAGGATCTTTAAAAAATTCTGGAATAAATAGCAAAAGGGTAATTACAGTTTTGATTTTAGTTGTAAAGTCCAGATAAATTTGAACTAAGATTCTGAACTAAGATTCTGGAATTATAAAAATCTTTTCTGTAGGGAAATACTGCTTTGATTTAAAAAAAAAAAAAAACAGGATAGATTGGGACTTTAAAGGTTAAATTCTTGAGGAAGCACAAGGAAGTAATGATTACAATTAAAGAGGAATACTTACATTTGATTTACTAATACAGAATGGAGCAAAATGTTTTAACATTCAACCTACTGAAGGGTATTTTTAAACAATGGACCCAGAAATTAATTTTAATGATGTCTACCTGCATAAATAGACTGCATTTATATGTAAGAGCAACAAAATACTAAAGGTGGGATAAAAAATAAATAAATACATTTTACCAGACAAGACTGAGACTGATTTGAAAGTGGATTTTAACATGACAAGCTGCAAGAGTGATATGGGAAAAGATGCTACACTGCACATACAAAAGAAACCAACTGATGGCTTAATAATTAAAAGGGATATACAAATAAACCAAGACAGGGATCTGGATGATATTCCTCTATTGGATTTATAAAAGAAGCTTGTTAAACATTTGAAGAACTTTGTGAAAAGGGACAAAGAAAAAAAATGAAAAGAAATAAACTTTTAGGCCACTATCAAGATTGTTACAAATAAAAGGGAGGAATATAAAATCAGTTTAGTTGATCAAGGTTAAAACAGATACATTGTTATCACTGGTAACCCTTAGTGGGCTTTTGCAGATCAGGACTGATATGACTAGGTTTTAAATTATTAGTTTATAAATAAGAGATGCAAAATGAGAGAAAGATATCATGTGTTGCATTTTAAGGTGATGATTACGAACACTGTTTATACTTGTGATAAAAGGGAAAGTTATTTATTTATATATTTCTTTTATTGTTCTTTAATATGTTGTTATTTTTCTCTTTTCTCTTTCCTTTTTCTTCTCTGCATCTTCTATTTTTTGTCTTCATTTTTTAGTTTGTATTCAGTTTTTATTACTGTAATTATGTTTAATCACATATTTGAAAAAGAAATTGGGATTTTTCTACAAGAACATTACACTGCTAAAATCTAGCCTAGAATTTGCTGTTTATGTTCTAATAATTAAATAATACAAACTGAATGATTTGAGGTGTCCTATTTAAGATCCATATTATTTAGTAAATCACAAATGTATTTTTTTTCTTAGAACAGTCATTTAGAATAAAAATATTTAAAGTCTCCCATAATGTCACATGACACATAAAAATCTTTAGCATTTTTATTACTAAAAACAAACAGTGATAGCGGAAATAATCTTTCTGAAGCTTTTTTTTTTAACATTCAGGTAATTGTGTTTCAGACAAAATGTTTTGGATCACCTAATATTGCACTGCAAAAGGAAACAATGCATAAAGGAGAGCTGTGACTACAAGCCATGCTCCTATGAAGTCACAAGGAAAGCCACCTGAATGAAATGCCACCTAGTATGAATGAAATAGCACACTGGAGCGTTTCCCATAGGCCTCCTTTGCTTTGGCTTCATGGATGCAAAATGGGCAAAGTTTTCCAACCCATCTAAAAATATCAAGGAAAATGGCACCGTTCGACCCGCTAATGAGCAGATTCTACACACATTTCTAGATGACAAGGTTAGAAACAAAGGCTAGAAACGAAGTCAATGGTGAAGCCAAGGCAACCAGAAGTAAGGTTGCTGCTTCACAGAAGGGCAGAACAGGATGAGTGAGAAAAAGCCAGAAAAGGGGGAGGGAGGGAGGGCTGTTGAGAAAGATCTACACTACAGCGACCATCTGGAAGTCAAGGACATCTACTGAGGAACCTCAAGACGATACCTTGGCAGTTAGCACACCAGCTGTTCCAGCTGTTTCAAGCCCTTTCTCAGTGCCTCCTAAGAACCAAGAGTTCTAAAGCTGCCAACTAGAAATCTTTTAGGGGGGTGGGGGGAACCCTAACCTCTATTACAGATCATCTGCATCCAGCTTTAAGGGGTTAAGGACGCCTGAAGCTCGGCATGGAAAAAGCCGCTCACGTCCTCTTCGACCGACTCAGTTCCACCGCCAATTCTCCCCGCAATCCTTGCCCTCTTTCCTCCCGCCTCGCCCGGTCCCTCCTTCGTCTTTGACATCCCGGGATCCCTGCAACCTTTTTTTGTTTGTTTGTTTGTTTGTCCCCCCCCCCCCCTTTAGACGCCCCTGGGATCTCTGCATCCTTTTCCTTCCCTCCGCATATCCCTGACTTTGGGGAAACTTCCTCCACTCGCCCAGGCGACGACCGCACCGCGGTCTGCGAGGTTCACCTGCCGCCGAGGTGCGCTCGAGTCCGTACCTCGAAAAGCTGCGGGATCTCCCTCCTGGTCAGGTAGTCTTTGGCGTCGCAGCTGCTCATGCCGCCTGGCGGAGAAAAAGGCGATGGCGCGCGATTTGGGGGCTCGGGTTGCTTTGGCTGGCGCTTTAAGAGCCCGGCTCTTGTCCTCCTTTCCTCTTTCGCCTCAGCGCTACGGTCTTCGTCCCTGGCAAGAACCTGCTCGCTCTTGGAAGGTGAGGCGAACCGAGAGAGCAGCAGCAGCAGCGCCTCCGCTTCCTCGCCCGAGCTGCCGTTACCCACCCAGCCCAACCCGCCCTCCGCCAGTCAAGCTGGGGCTGCTGGAGTGGGTGGGAGTGGGTGGCTGCTCTGGAAAGGCGCCGGGGAGGGGAGGAGACTGGCTCCAAATCGCACGATCCGCGCTTTTCTATACACACAGGCGCGCGCGCAAACACACACACACATGCATACACTACATACATACACACGCGCCGGCACGTGGCGCTCCTTTAGAAAGAGAGGCGGCGATCGAGGGGAAGCCGGGTACGCCCGTGGCTTTCCACGGGGTGTGTGCGCCCCTCAGAGAGTGGACACGATCCCGTCCCCCGAAAGCCTTCCCTCAGGCGGTTTCCCCAGTCGGCGCCCACGATCGCCGGCCCTTTTGTAAAGTTTACGCGCTACGAAGCCAAGATTTCTGCCACCTCACGCTCGGCCGTTTCACCCCCCCAGCGGCTGATCTCCACTCGCGCGGGGAGTACAGGAACGCGGGGGGTGCGTGGACAACTAGATTGAAGGCGAGGGTGGGGTGAAGATTCTTTGAAACGGCGTCCCTTCATTTTTTTGGGGGGGGGGGGATTAGTGCCCGCAGGATTACCAAGGGGAAGATCCACTTATGGGCCAAGTTAAATATTTAGACAAAAACAAATGCCCATATTATTGAAGGAAATCTCAACATCTCAAGTTTAGCTGCTTATTTATCGAATTTAGCCAACCACATCGCAGACCTGACCCTGGTTGGCATCAACCACTTTAAACCAACACAAAACGAGGAAAAAAATATTTTTTTTAACACAAATATAGACTACAGGAGAATAGACGTCGTGGGCCCCCTTTTTCTCTGGCATCCCCAATGTTGGAAGAACTATTTTTTGAAGGATTTCCTAAATGTCAACATCTGTTCACCAGACTCAGCCTTCCATTCTTCTGAGATGGTTAAATGAGGACCCAGATTGTTGGGGGGAATATGCTGACTGTGTAAACTGCTTAGAGAGGGCTGTCAAGCACTGTGAAGTGGTATATAAGTCCAAGTGCTATTGCTATTCCTATCTGGCTACTCTCACCTGGGGTGGAGAATGATGCTGCACAGTGCCACAGCAGAAAAGGTCCATCTCTTGATCTTGTCAGATGGAATTTTAGCATGCAGGACTCACTCATATGCCCTTCCTTGCTAGACCTGATGGGACAGCTAATCCTACGTAGCTTTTTCTCTGGCAATATCACACTACTAACTAGAGCATACAAAACATTTGCTAGACCAATACTTGAATACAGCTCATCAGTCTGGAACCCGCATTACGTATCTGATATTAATACAGTTGAGAAAGTCCAGAAATATTTCACAAGAAGAGTTCTACGCTCCTCTACTCGTTGCAGAATACCTTATGCCACCAGAGTCGAAATTCTAGACCTAGAAAACCTAGAACTACTCCGCCTTCGGTCCGATCTAAGTATAGTATATAAAATCATACATTGCAATGTCCTACCTGTCAATGAATACTTCAGCTTCAACCATAACAATACAAGAGCACACAATAGATACAAACTCAAGGCTAACCGCACCAAACTTGATTGCAGGAAATACGACTTCAGCAACAGAGTGGTCAATGTCTGGAATACTCTACCTGACTCTGTGGTTTCTTCCCCAAACCCCAAAAATTTTAATCTTAGACTGTTTACCATTGACCTCACCCCTTTCCTAAGAGGTCTGTAGAGGGCATGCATAAGCACACCAATGTGCCAACCGTTCCTGTCCTATTGTTTCTTTTTATTTTTCTTATATGTATCCATTTCATGTATTCATAACTATGTTTATACTTATACCTGTTATAATCGCTTTACTAAATAAAGAAAGAAAGAAATAATGCTGCAGAGTGCCACAGCAGAAAAGGTCCATCTCTTGATCTTGTCAGATGGAATTTTAGCATGCAGGACTCCTAACATGCCCTTCCTTGCTGGACCTGATGGGACAGATCCCTCATATAAACTGATTCCATATCATATATGACTTTATAGGTAAAAAACAGCACCTTGAGTTGAACGCGGAAGCAAAATAATGCAGCAGTAGACCTAAATAACTAAATAATGCAGCAATGGAACAAAGGTATAACATGTGCTATTTTAAGGGACACATAAGTACTCCACACTGCCACATTTTGTACCAGTTGTAGCTTTAGGATGCTCTTCAAGCAACAGTATGTAGCACATTTTACACTACAGGTAGTCCCCAATATACAACAGTTCATTAGTGACTGGAGTTACAACGGCACTGAAATGTAATCTGAGCCTTTTTCACATTGATGAGCATTGTGTTGTGGTCTGCTGGTGGCCTCTGCTGGCAGCAGAGTGAGACAGTAGGGAGGAACATGGGCCAGTTCTGGAGTCTGGGGAAGAATCGGAAGAGGGATGTCCATCTGACACAGAGATAGGGCCAGGGAGTTATGTGCTAACTCCGGAGCCTCCAGAATCTGACATCAGCAAGACAGAGGAACAGGGAGAGCTTATTCCCAGTGCACACTTGCTAAGCTTCCAGAAGGCAAGAACAGTTAAGACAAAAGGGGAGACTCGGGAGTAAGGCTTGGAGATGATTGGCCCCTGCCATAAGACATAAAGGAGCAAAGGGACATGAGCCTTTGCAGGAAGCAACTTTATTCGTTCTGGTTGGTTTAAAATCTAAAGCTCTGTGTTGACTTTGTGCTCCGTACAGCTAATTGGCAATTTAGTGTTGGCAGCATTTCAAGGGAGATAACGGTGGGTGCTTATCAGTCTTATCCCGAAAGACTGTGGCAGACTTCTGTTGGACTATTCATAAACTGTTTGGGACTCATTACAGGTTGTGAATGCATATCATTCACAGCCATTGAAATATGAAAAAAAAGGGAACAGCGTGTGCTTGTTACGGTCTCGGGAAGCCTTGGTCAGAACACATTGCAGTGTTCCCATGGTCATGTGATTTACATTTGGATGCTTGATATCTGGTTCATATTTATGATTGTGCGCAGTGTTGCACAGTCATGTGATAGCCTTTGGTGACCTTCTGACAAGCCAAGTCAATGGGAAAGCCAGATTCATGTAACTTACTAATTTTAACAACTGCTGCAGTGAGTCCCTTAACAAATGGGGCAAGAAAAGTCATAAAATAGGCAAAACTCAAAGTGAACAAACTTCTCACTTAGCAACATACATTTTGGACTCAAATGTTGAAGACTACCTGCAGTCCATTTGGGAGGGGACCTCAGCATCTATAACTGTGAGCTGGAATATATGCAACTTGGTAGTACACAACATGAAGCTTCCAACAGTTAGGAAGGGGCTGGATTTTGTCGGTCTATGGCAATTTGCAGCAGCTAACTCGCCATGGCCAGTTCACCATGGCCAACTTGCTATGGCCAACTCGCTGTAGGACAACTCACCATCCCGCAGGACGACTCACTGCAAGACAGGAGTATCAAAGAAATGCTGTAATAGAATCATTACAGAAAGGATGCAAAAGGAAGGACAGAATGAAATGTGAATCGCAAAAATTAAAATAACTTTTTATTTATTTTTAATAATTAAATAGAACTGTTAAATTATCCCTTGCAGAGTTGGCTGTGGAAAGTTGGCTGTGGAAAGTTGTCCCGTTCCTGGATTTTGATGTCATCCTACAGTTATGGAAAGGAAAGAGGGTCATTAAATCCACCCTGTCTTGCTTCTGGACAGATAATAGAATTAACGCTTGTCCTTCCGCCCCATTGATCTCTGCTTTTCCTTGAACTTTTCTTTCAGAATGATTAATTTCAGATTGCTCCCCTGCTTTGGCTTTTAAATCATATCCAACCGTTCTTGCATACAGAACATCTTTAGTCCTTCGTTCATAGGCAATTTTCAGCAATAGCAGAATGCTGGCCATCAAAGTGTTCCCCTTAATCATCAATTTCAATAGTTTTATACTGATCCTTCATGCTCTGGAAAGCATCACTTTTTCTGTCTCCTGCTGACATGGTCTTGCCACAAAAAAAGGGAAGGAGAGGGGAAAAAACCATAATGTATCACCATTTTTTTTTTCAGATAAGTGACTTAGAGATGTGGCAAATTGTAGTCGCTCATCCTTTCTTCTGATTTCCTGATACTTCGCAGTTTAGTTATCCTCCTGTGCTAGTCATGGCAGAAGACCCGCTGGTATGGCTCAACTAGGTTAGAATCTTGATTATAGGCAAGACTGAATCCATGCACAGCTCTTGATTTTCTCACTGAATTTGCAGGGAGGAAATGAAAAAAAAAAAAAGAGTTACAGCCATGGAGTTTAAACTTGTTGCTTCTTTCTCCTATCTTTCTAAGTCAACGTCAGAGGTGGTATTCAGCAGGTTCTGACCAGTTCTGGAGAACCAGTAGCAGAAATTTTGAGTAGTTTGGAGAACTGGCAAATACCACCTCTGACTGCAGATTTTACAGTATCCTTCCCCTGCCATGCCCACCAAGCCATACCCACAGAATCAGTAGTAAAAAAAATTGGTCAATGTGTATTTGGCATGGTGCTTGGTAGACAAATGCTGTAGTTGTCCATTTTGGAGTAATCTTTGACTAATGGTTCTTCTCACAATATGTTAACTACACATTAACTAATCACTGGCCTAAAAATATTTGCAACCAAGGCAGTGGTGGGTTGCAAAGTAGGTTCCCACCGGTTTGGTGGGCGTGGCTTGGTGGGCGCACTTTGCGTGCATGCACGCACTTTGCGCACGCGCAGAGGCTTTCCTACTCACCTCCTGCAATCCTGCACTCTCCCTGTACCTTCAAAAGCAGGGAATAAAGATCAGTGTGGGAGCCCAGGCTGGCGGGTGGGCCCAACA